AGCTATAAGCTATAAGCTATAAGCTATAAGCTATAAGCTATAAGCTATAAGCTATAAGCTATAAGCTATAAGCTATAAGCTATAAGCTATAAGCTATAAGCTATAAGCTATAAGCTATAAGCTATAAGCTATAAGCTATAAGCTATAAGCTATAAGCTATAAGCTATAAGCTATAAGCTATAAGCTATAAGCTATAAGCTATAAGCTATAAGCTATAAGCTATAAGCTATAAGCTATAAGCTATAAGCTATAAGCTATAAGCTATAAGCTATAAGCTATAAGCTATAAGCTATAAGCTATAAGCTATAAGCTATAAGCTATAAGCTATAAGCTATAAGCTATAAGCTATAAGCTATAAGCTATAAGCTATAAGCTATAAGCTATAAGCTATAAGCTATAAGCTATAAGCTATAAGCTATAAGCTATAAGCTAAACCAAACACATCAAAATAACTTAAATTAAGCTGAAAGCTAAAATAAGCTGAAATTAAGCTGTACCAAACAGGGCCATACAATCATTGATAATCTAGGGCTTTTAAAATGACTATTGTGTCGTCTTTATGCATGAATTTGTCAGAGGCAGAGCACGTGGAGTGCTTGTCATCATTGTTGTGTATCGTTTTTAATTTTTTAAATGGCATATCGTAAGATATTTTCATACCTTTAAAAATAGGTAAGAAAATAAATATAATTATAAAAAACAAATATCTTATGAGAATAAAATACTAAACAATGTATAATTCTGTCAATTGCAAAAACAAAGTTCCTTAAATTAAATATATACATGCAACACAAGGCATAAATTAATAACTCAAAATTCTTAAATCATACAGTAGATATGTCAAAAAAGTCAAAAAATAAACAAAAAAGTACCATTATCATCTCAAAAATAACTTTTTTTTAATAAGTTAATGAAAATTTTCGACGATATTAATTTACGTAAAATAATTTGATTTTTTCTTTTCAAATTTTCTAAAGAAATTTAAGTATTTATGTAACATACGTATCGCATTATGTATTGCCAATCATATATCGCATCATAAATCGTATATGTATAGTAAGATATATTCAATTTAAAATACATATTGATGATAGTATCAATTTCTTTCTGATATGTCTCAAATTGTAACGTACATATTGTGAATCGTAAAATACTACATCACTGCATACCGCTTGTATATATATATAATAATTGAATATGTGCTTACATTCATTTCAAGTAGTCATTTGGGATTTGGTTTTTTGTGATTTTTTTTTTTTAGCTTTTTGACCTGTTTAGGATAATGTGTGGAAAGTTTATATTAAAAAAAAAAAAAAAATTATTGATTGTGAGTTAAAAAAAGTTAATGTAACATTTAATTTTTTTAACTGATGATAAATAATTTAGTGATTTTTTTTAAAAATTTTTTTAACTAAAAATTAATTTTTTCTTTTAGATTTTCAAACGACTTATTCTTTATCTCTCTTAATTATTAAGAAAATATTTGAGATTACTAAAAAAAGTTCTCATAATTTCAATCACAATGATATGAAATATTAAGAATCAATTTTTGATTTGTTACACACTTATCACATAATTAAATGTGAATTTAAGGATTTAAATTGTGAATTTCTATCATTTCTCTAATTATTATCCCATGTTAATTTACTTTTTAAATTAAAAATTGCAACACTCAATCCTCTTCATCTACTATTTTTCTTTTTTCTTTTCAAAATGAACTTTATGACTAAAACATCCTATTTGTTATAGGATAATTTTCATTTTACCCTTGAGCTATCATTTTACCGCTCTCAACTAAAAA